GGGCCGCCAACCCGGGTCCGCCCCCTCCTCATCCCCACCTCTACCCCCACCCCCCACTCGCCCCAGGTGAGAGCTCACCTGGCGCCGTGCCCACCTGGGGGCGCGGGGACACGAGTGATGACCCCCCCAAGCCCCGTGGGGCCTGGAGAGGCGGGGATAGGGGTACCGCGCCGGGTGCCTCTCCCGCACGGGGTGGAGGGACCCGCAATCTCTCCTCCGAGCTGCACCCTGGGGATGGGGGAGGCACCGGCCTGAAGTCCACGGAAATTGGCGTCTTGTCCGCGCTCCTGCCCAGTGGTGCCGGGTCTCTCTGCAGCCGCCCGTCTTGCTGGGCAAAGGGACTCCCGTGGGGGGATCCTTGGTCCGACAGCAGGATGAAAAGGGCACCCTGTCTATAAACGGGGGGCTGGCGGTCTTACAAGCCAGGTGCACAGTGCGGGCCTCCTGGGTGTTTGACAAAACGCGGTCGGTATTGAATAGGACAGAAATTCAGACTAAGCAATGGGCCAAACAGATATAGAAGAGGGAACTAATTTTGAAGGTGTGGAGGTGCCCAAAGTTCTGTCTTACGTGGGGAGGGGGGTGGGAGGGAAGGGGTGGCGTTTGAGGCTTGAACCCAGAGTCTCACACTTTGCCTTAGCCTTTTCACTCACGGCTAGTGCTCTACTACTTGAGTCACAGCTCCACTTGCAGTTTTTTGTTTTTGTTTTTGTTAATTGGAGATAAGAGTGTCTTGGGGGGCTGGGAAGGTGGCTCAGTGGTAGAGTGCTTGCCTTGCATGCATGTGGCCCTGGGTTCGATTCCTCAGCACCACATAAGCAAAAAAGAAAAAAAGCCAGAAGTGGTGCTGTGGCTTAAGTGGTAGAGCGCTAGCCTTGAGCTGAAGAGTTTTGAGGGACAGCGCCCAGGCCCAGAATTCAGGCCCCACTACCGGACCAAAAAAAAAAAAGAATGTCTTGGATTTGTCTGCCCTGCTGGCTTCTGTGTGAGATCCTCAGATGTCAGCCTCCTGAGTAGCTAGTATGACAGGCACAATCACCAGCAGTGGGCCTTTCTCACCCTTTATAAACAATTTTATTCCAATTTCTGCAGTGAAGATGCGCAATCAAAGCAGGGAGTGGCACCAGTCTAGAAAGATCAATAACCAGTACCCAAGTGAGATACCTTGAACATTGAGTCAAATCAAGCAAGACAAAATAAAAACTTGGAAGGAGGGCTGGGAAGGTAGCTCAGCGGTAGAGTGCATGCCTTGCAAGCATGAGGACCTGGGTTCGATTCCTCAGCACCACATAAACAGAAAAAGCCGGAAGTGGCGCTGTGGCTCCAGTGGTAGAGCACTAGCCTTGAGCTGAAGAGCTGAGGGACAGTGCCCAGACCCAGAGTTCAGGCCCCATGACCGGCAAAAAACAAAAACAAACAAACAAAAAAACTTGGAAGGAATGGCAAGTCTTATAAAGTTTCAGGAAAATCAGCCATGCAGGTAGAACATCTTTACAGTACACCCTGGCACCCTGAGGTCTCGGAGAGTTGCTGGGAAGATGGCCGCTGATGTCAGGTGGTGTTGAAAAAAACAGGTCATAGTGAATGAACCTCTCTGAGCTGTTTCTGTCAATGAGCCAGTGTGACTAGATGACCCATTGATCTTTAACAGCTCTGCCAGCTCTATCCAATCTAGTGGTTCTATTTATTGAACCACTGCATGGCCCAGAATAGTGTGCAGGCTTCTGAGTCCAATCATGTCAATTATGAGCCCAGATAGGAAATGAGGATGATAACAAATAGCTTGTAGGATTTTTGTACAGAAGAGATAGCCAATGCTAAGCCCGTGTTGGCACTTAGTATCAGTTTTCATGCCTTCAGGCAGGAAATAATGTGTGCTTCTGTTTTTACTAGTTTGGAGGTCTGAGATGGATGTCTACTTTGCATGACTTTCTTCCTTCCAACCTTCCTTCCTTCCTTCCTTCCTTCCCTTCCCTCCTTCCTTCCTTCCTTCCTTCCTTCCTTCCTTCCTTCCTTCCTTTCTTTCTTTCTTTCTTTCCTTCTTTCTTTCTTTCCTTCCTTTTGTGCTGGTAATAGGGGTTGAACTTAGGGCCTCACTCTCTTGCTTAAATTTCTCTGCTCAAGGGTAGTGCTCTACCCTCTGAGCCACAACTAGCCACTTCTAGCACTTTGCTAGTTAATTAGAGATAATAATCACTCATATTTGTCTGTCAAGGCTGGTTTCAAAGCAGGATCCTCAGATCTCAGCCTCTTGAAATAGCTAGGGTGATAGATGTGAGCCACCAATGCTCCACTGACATGTTGATTTCTGGACTATCAATTTAAATATCCTTCCTCACTATGGCTGAGCACATCACTGGTAAGGGGGAGAACCAGGACAGAGGAGGTTCAGAGCAGGAGGGTCCCAGGCAGGAGCAGTGTGGGTCAGAGAGGAGGATGAGCTGTAACCTGGGGGGTGGAAAAGATGCCACCATGCCCCAGCCACACCCGTAGGTACTCAAATATGGGCAGGTGAGGAGGGAGGGAGTCCAGCCTGGGCTGTTCCTCTGGTCTTTAAGCCCCACAAGCACACACAAGTATGTGTGTGCATTGAGAAGGTGCAGAATGGAGGGGACAATTGCTCCCAAAGTGAGCATTACAAGTTACTGATTGGCATTGGATGGTAGGATGTCCTGCAAAGAAACTGGAGAAAGCACTAAAGAGTCAATGGAGATATCAGCATTTGGAGAATGAGAAGCACATAGAAAATGAGCTGCCATCAGCCCATGCCATGGATCCCAGATCCCACCTCCCTGCAAAGGTGATTCCTAGGTCCCACCCCCTGATCCCTTAGCGTGTTGCCTTGCTTTCTTTGTCAACAAGACCTCCCAGAATACCCAGGTGCAGCTCCTCATTGCCGATTGTAGCCATTCTGCAATATTACTTCTGGCATACCAAGCTGTATGCATATACAGGCCCAGCCCATAGTCTCATTGAAGCCGCAAGAGCCCTGGGAAACTTGGGAAGTCATTATCACCATTGCACAGAATAGAAAACTGAGGCTGGGAAAGCTGAAATCTCTGGTGCAGGTGGCACAGCTATAGCAGTGGAGACAGGAATGGAGTCCAGTCCCAGTGGGACTGTCAGCATGGGCTGAATGATGGTGGTGGTTGGCTCAGAGGGTGCAGGGGCATAGCCTGACTCACAGAAGTCTTTGCTTATGTCATATCAGAGCATTGCATAGCCCCTAAGAGCAGAGCCCTAATAATCCAGAGTAGGGGAGATTCAACGGATCATCCCACAATTGTAGTGTTGTGGGTTCCCAGCCTGGTGCCTTGAATGGCTTTTCATTCTGCTCCTCCCCTCCTCCCTCTCCTACTCTGCACTGAAAACCCCTCAAGGGCTAGCCTGAGCTTTCCTTCTCTCTGGTTCTCCAGTGTTTGGCATAGGGTCCAGAACATAGTAGATGCTTAGGAAGCATGTTGATGCTGGCTCATAGCCTTGCACTGTGGCTTTTCCATGAGGCTGCAGAAATATAGAACATCATACTAGCACTATGTGTGCACACACATTACCCCTTCCTGTGCTGATACCTGCTCTATCAAGCAAGCGCATGCGTGCATGCGCGTTCTCTCACACAAACACACACAGAGCACAAGTCCAGACATTCAGTGACACACAGACCCCCTCCCATCTCCCCCAGAAATGCCTAAATTCCTAGGCAGCCCCGCAGCTGCTCTGGGATTCACAGGTTCACACAGGTATGCAAGGGAGAAATTCTTAGACATCCACATGCAGCTACCTGTTTCAGAGCCAGCCCAAGGCAGCCACTGCTCAGGGATGGAGTCCTCCCTCACTCACACACACACACACACACACACACACACACACACACACACACACACATTGGAAGTCACAAGCATGAAGCCAAAAAACCTTGCAATGCTCATAAAATCCAACCCTAGATCCTCCTCCTCCCCACCCCCACCACCTGTTCCCAGGCCTTGGCACCTGCCTGAAGCAAACACTCAGGAAAGAAACTATCCTTGTATGGCCTCAGGTCCCCCACCCCTCCAAACACTAGCCACAATACACCCAGAAAATTCTCCAAGCTCCTCCACCAGGCCCTGAGAGAGCACAAGTGCCACGTTCCACTTACCAATTTCTTTCCAGCTTTCCTCCAGCTGCTGTATAACTGGACTCTGGACTGACAGGAATGAGCAGGCCATGGCCAGGAGTTCCAAGGGAAAGCCCCAGACCCTATGCATACTCAAGACTTCCTCTCCTCATCCTTCCCCATCCTCCCTGTGTCCTGGCCTCAGCCTCATTATGATCAGTTTTATTCTGGCTATCTCCACCAGCCCTGACTGCATGCATTCCACCTGCATACTATGTATTCCACTTGAATTATTTGGCCTGATGGAGTTACAGCAGCAGCAGCAGCATTAACCTCATTATAAAGGAGAGAACAGGAAGGGCCAGAGGGGAACTTCCTCAAAGGCCCCAGGACTCACTGGTCCTTCAGTTTAGGAGATGTAAGGCACCTTTGCTAAACTGTCCTCTCTCTCTCAATCTCTCTCTCTCTCTCTCTCTCTCTCTCTCTCTCTTCTATTTTTGTTTTTGTTTCGTTAGTTGTGGGGTTTGAACTCTGGGCCTGGGCAATTCCCTGAGCTCTTCAGCTCAACGCTACTGCTCTACCACTTTAAATCACAACACCACTTCTGGTTTTCTGGTGGCCAATTGGATAAGAGGCTCACAGACTTTCCTACCCAGGCTGGCTTTGAACCGAAATCCTCAAATCTCAGCCTCCCTGAGTAGCTAGGATTATAGGCATGAGCCACCAGTTCCCAACTAGACCTCTTTCTTTAAACTGAGGAGAGACTCAAACTTGTGTTTAGTGCTGGGAAAACAACAAACTCGGGCTTAAATAATATAACTTATTCCATCTTACTGCAAATTTCCCATTTCTTACAGAGCATATAATATCCAATTTAACATACAGTCAACCCTTAGCAACCTTGGAAGACTAGGTCTAGGACCTCCCTTCAGATGCCCAAATCCACAGATGCTCAAGTTCCTGATATAAAATGGCATAGTTAGGGCTTGTGGTATAGTTAAGCGGTAGAGCACTTGTCTAGCATGAGCAAGGCCCTGGGTTCCATCTCCATAACCACAAAAATAAATCAAATGATATAGTATTTATATAATCTATATACATCATTTTATGGACTTTAAATTATATCTAGATGACTTTTAACACATAACTCAGTGCACATGTCATGTAAATTATAATTGTTAAGCTATGTTAATCAGAGAACCCCCTCAAAAAACTCCACATGCTATCTGTTTTGACAGATAAAAATGTTTTTTGAAAGCTGGGCATTGGTGGCTGGCATCTGTACCTAGCTATTCCAGAGGCTGAAAGCTGAGGATGATAATTTGAAGCCAGCCTGGGCAGAAAAGTTCTCAAGACTCTTACACCCAATAAGCCAGAAAAGAAGCCAGAAGTGGAGGTGTGGCTCAAATGGCAGAGCACCAGCCTTGAGTGAAAAAGCCAAGTAAGTGTGTGTGGCTAAGTTAAGCCACAGTACTGGCACAAAAAATTAATAAAAATAGATAAGTGGAATGTTTTCCACTGTGGCTGATTGAATGCACATATGCAGAATCTGTGGATACAGAAGGCTGATTGCATGCTAAACCCTGGGTAAGAGATGGTAAAATATGTTTCTGTCCTTAACATGCAGTTTGGGGGGGAAAGACATGAATAGAGCATCTGACATTTCTATATAAGTGTAGCCAGTTATTAAGTACAGTATTTGTTGGGTGCCAAGTATAATATCAACTCCATCTAAACCTTCCTAGTCTGTGTTATTGGCTTTGGAATCTGCACTCTAGCTCCAATCTCTACCCCAATCACTCCTCTAGGCTTTAGACTATAATGACCTGGCTGTAATACCACACAGCTCCAATAGGGGGTCAATTGGCTTCAACAGAATGTTTGTATGCAGAGAAATCTGGGTCCATACATAACCTTGTCACTGATTTCTTTGGTGGCCTCAGAGTCCTCATCCATGAAATAGGTGTGGCTCTTCCTGTCTGCCTTCTGGTATAACTGTGGTGAGCAATCTGAGGATGAATGTGAACATCTTTCTTGGGTGATTCAGAGATAGCACACTTGACTTCCTGTCTCCCTGACTAAATTCAAAACCCCATTCACTCCACAACTACGTTTTGAGTCTCATCATGTCTAGATTATTTCTGCCTTTTCACAAAGGGACTTCGGATAAAATATTTAAGGCAAACTGTAATCCTAACTCTGGCTGAGGCTTCTGGCTCTCTCTAGTGGGCAGCATACCCCTGCCCTGACAAGAAAGAAAATGGACTGTGAAACTGAAGTATATCTGCCTCCCCTAAGTCTAAAAATCTCTCCCACCCAATAATGAATCCTTTCTGTACACAACCCAGTATACTCAGGGGGAAACTGATGTACGGAGAGAAGAAATGACCTTCCCAAGAATATAGACCCAGCGAGACTTCCCAGCTAGTTGAACCCAGACCTATAGAGTTGCAAAGGGTTGGTACAAGAAAAAAGATAAATGGCCTGGCCAGAGCTGGGAAGGGTGAGGAAGGAAGGACCTTCCTGGTTTGACACAATCCAAACCGACTGCCCTAGCTGCCAGCCTTCTGCAGGAGCGCCCCCTGCTGGTGTGCTCCTGCTGCTAGTGTGCTAGTGCTGCTGTGGTGCAGGTGATGCTCTGTGCTGGAGAATAAACAGAAAAGGGGAATGGGGGCTAATTCGTTCACTTGGGCAAATGCAACTCTCTAAGGTGAGTGACCTGCTCAAGACCTCCCTGGGAATGGGCACAATGCAGCTCTCCCAGTGGCCTGCCTCACACTGCAGTCCCTCCTCTCACGCTTGCTTGGATTCTGCACACCTGAGCCCAGGGGACCCCTTACCCTTCGCCTGGCACCCTGCCAGCCTTACCAGGAACCCCTTGCTTGTGGCCCTAGAGGATTCCTTCTCAGAAGCCTTATTACAGCCACAGTCTACAGAGACCTAAATTAAGGGATCTTTGTTGTAAATGTTTGCCTGCTGGCACAGACTTGAGGACCAATGAGTATCTCTTTCTTGTGGATTTTCTTCCACTCACCTAGCCACTCCCTACTCAGAGCTTCAAGGTTGAAGTCTACTCAGGATAAATGATGTAGGAGTTTTTCTTCTTGACACTATCAAGCAGCCTGGCTGGCTGGATGTCTCTTGCCTGGACAGTCTCTTGGTTTTCAGCTTTCCTTTCTAAGCTGAGTGACTTTGGACAAGTCACTTAAAATTCCTGAGTCTCCATTTCCCTTACTATAAAACATGGGTGGAGTTAACTCTTTGGATTGGCTTAAGATCATGAGTGTGCACACAGTAGATGCTCAATAGATGAAAAACTTGGTTAGTCAAATTTTCCAAGGATCCCTGGGCTGGTCTGTCTGGCCTGACCATCCTCCCCCCCCCACCACCCCCAATTTAACATCCTCTTTCTAGAAGTGAGCCTTCCAGCCTTAATCCCTCCCTACTCCCCGCCATCCCAGAGCAAGTCTCATGGTATGTCTGTGTGGTCCTTAGGAAAGGAGGATGCTGTTACAAGACAGGAAAGATAGCTTAGCACAAGTGGCTCCCACCTGTAATCCTAGCTACTCAGGAGGCTGGGATCTAAAGCTCATGGTTTGAAGCCAGCCCTGGCAGGAAAGTTCGTGAAACTCTTACCTCCAATTGACCAACAAACAGCTAGAAGTAGAATTGTGGCTCAACACCAGCCTTGAGAAAAAAGCCAAGCAAGAACTTGAGGCCTTGAGTTCAAACCCTAGTACACACACACACACACACACACACACACACACACACACACACCAAGCACCAATGGCTCATGCCTGTAATCCTAGCT